TTTTTTTAACAGAAATTGTTCTTTTGTTAACTAATTATCAGCATCAATTCTGTGCAACTGGCACGCTTTACTTCTGCACACTTTACAACTGGCACGCTTAATTATTATACACGGTTTGCAACAAATGATTTGAAAGAGTACTTTCTACTTCTTCTTCTTTACGTCTTTTACATGAACGACAAAACAAAATCTTTGTATTCTGACAAAAACGAAAGTTAAGTTAAAGAAAGTTAAGAATGAACAAGAACAAGAAACCAACGTCAAGAAATAAAAAGAAACCTACCAATCCAAATTGGCAACGCTACTTTATTCTCTAATGCTAAGGTGACGAAAACAGTACCAAATTTTTCAAGAAAATTTCTTTTTTTTTTTTGTAATAATGAATTCTCTAATTAGAACTAGAATTAAAAAAATTAAATAACCGACAAAGCTTAAAACGAATAATGTCAAAAAAAAACATACTTTCCATAATGTTAAGCGAAATAAATAAAAGTTCCTAAAGAAGCTTTTTTTCTCAAAATTGCACGCAGTTGTGCAACCGCCTGACAAACCTACAGGTCTTCAAGTATAAAACGGATTTCAAACTCGCAACAACTACCGGATAGTAAACAGCCTTGACTACGAAATTGATGAAGAGCTCGAAGAAGACTACGCACCTTTCGGGCTCGATTCAAAGGTATTTAAGAATCTCCAAAAACATAAACTCAAATACCACGAAATTAGATTTCTCAGACAGTACACGGCCTCCGGATTAAGTCACTATATCCGTGAGCAGCTAAATTGCCTACACGACATAACGTAGAGGGAGCGCGACGTCTGCGAAGAGGTGTTGGGTGAGAAGATGACGAAAGATCCCATAGACACCATCATCCTAACCAACAAACACATCAAGCCGGCATTCCCAAAACCAGTAGTAAACGATGCATTCGACGCTGCATACGAAATCTTTTATGCTATTATGCGCAAGTATATGCTCGAGGCAGATATAGGGAAACGAATACAAGCTACAGTGGTAGAGAATATTGATTTCCTTAAATCAGATGGATCATGCGTTACCGGCAGAATGCACCGACGAAATTTGCTTGGTTTCATCCTGACTATGCTGCTAAAAACGAAAAACTGCAGAGAATCTATTGACAAGAACGTGTCTTCACACTGAGATAATAACGATGCGCCGTCGCCAATCTCCCATAAGCCACCAAGGCTCACTATTGCTTCAGTACAATATAAGACTGCCGTACGCGAAATGGTAAATTCGCAATCAACTTAATATATAAAATTTTGTAATTACATAATTTTTCTTTTGCGGATGAAGATGTTAATAACAGCCGCGCAGCAAGCTACTTTTAATTATTTTGTAAATGTTATTGTAAATATTATTGTAGTTTTTAACTCAAGTTTATAATGGTGTAGGCCTACAGGGGAGCCAGCCATTCAAAATTATTGGCAACACGCCCACATGGTACCTTTAAGGTGATGCGGAAAACCGTGAGATTTCTTCTTTTTGTTTTGTTTTCTTCAGCTGCTCTCCTAGAGAAATTCTAGTGTTTACTATCTTATTCCTAATAAGCATTTATTTTTAGAAAAATGCGAACTTGGCAGCACGACATCAGCAAAACATGTTTACGCTCGGCAATAGATTTAATATATACCACAGCAAATTTATTCTGCGGGTTACTCCACTGGGGCATGAACCTCCATTTGCGAAGAACTCAACTCGTGCCACGATTGTGGCTTGTATTCTCTTGCCTATTTCGGGTGCCGTCATGTTTGCGACCGTTGCTGCGTCAAACAAGTTGTACGCTTTGTCAAACTCCTCGTTTACAAAGCCTTTTGGCCACGCCGGATTTAGATATTTTGATCTGTACAACAAGTTGTTCTTCGTATCTTTGGCCACTAGTACTCCATTTATTGCCTCGCGAAATTTTCCTTCGCTTGCTATCTCTGTGGCAATCGGGGCAATTTATTTGTCATGTATATGTATATATGTGTATATATATCGTCTGATAGAGTAACCGGTGACAAGACGCAGGTTGCCTAATTCGCTGATTGATTTCGTGCTTGTCTGCATGTAACATGAGTAACATGGGTATATCAATATCAATTGAGATTTAGTTATTATAATTTAATAAGAATAACGCAAGGGATTTATGGCCTTAAGAGGTGATGTGAAAGAGAAAAAAAGGAATGGAATATGAGTAGATCGTATGCTTATAAATAAAAATTGCTTCAATAAATGTGAAAAAATATGAAACTAATGCAAAATATTTACTATATATGTGTACATGTGTCTGTA